ACCCTTATGGTTTGGATGTTAGATCACTTAAAGTTGTCCCAGAGGTTCCTAAGCCTCTCCTCATTTTTTTTGAATTCTTCTTTCTTCATTCTGTTCTGGTTGAATGACTATTTCTTCCTTGTGCTCCCTATTGTTGATTTAACTCTGGTTTCCTTCCCTTTACTCTTGGTTCCCTTCATATTTTTCTTTATTTCACTTTGAATAGCCATCATTTTTTCCTCCATTTTGTGATCATACTGAACCATTTCTGTGAGCATATGATTACTGGTGTTTTGAACTGTGCATCTGATAAGTTAGCTATCTTCATCACTTCTATTTTTAGAGCTTTGATCTGTTCTTTCATTTGGGTCATATTTCTTTGTCTCAGTGGGCCTGTTACTTTAGAAGGGGTGGAGCCTTAGGTATTCACCAGGGTGGGGCAACCTAGGTTGCTGTGTTGTGATGCTATATGTGGGAGAGGGGCCTGAGTGGAACAATGCCACTAGTTCAGCTGTCAGCTGGCTTTCAGTCACTTCCCCAGCTACCCACAAGCAAATTGGGCCCTTCTGGTGCTGATTCCTAGGTGGGTGGGTTTGTGTATGTTCTAGGACCCTGTGGGTCTCTCCAACAAACTCTCCTATGAGGCTGGGAGTTTCTACCCAGCCACAACACCCACAGGATTTTACAGCCAGTGGTTTTGAGGCTTTCTGCTCCTGCTCCAGAACCCTGGATTTCTCAATCTGTCTCACTCCCAGTTGTCCCTCCCAGTTTAACCACATGCAAATTTGTGGCCTACAGCTACAGCCTCTCCTCCCTGGTCCTTCAGCTGCCTCCTTGCCGTGTGTCGTGTCTGCCCCTGCTGCCCATCTCCGCCCCTCCTACCTGTCTGGATGAACATTTCTCCTTTATCTCTTGGTTACCAGACTGACATACAATTCAATTTTTTGGCAGTTCTGGTTATTTTTTGTTTTTATATTTGTTGTTGTCCTTCTGTTAGTTGTACAAGAGGGTAAAGTGCATCTACCTACATCTCCAACTTGGCCAGAGGTCAATTTCTCAAAGTTCTAAGTGATAGCTCTTCTAAATTTTAGCTAAAACTTTGATGTGGTTGTGCAAAAAGATAAGTCGTGTCTGCTTATGTTGCAATCTTCACAGAAAGACCTGAACATTCATTGTTTTGTCTGATGGTCAATCTAACTTTTCACCCTGAACCAGAAATTAACAATATTTCAGACTCTGTCCTCATCCAACTCAAGACTAAAGCATGGGAAACTAGAAAACTGGGGAGGCCATCAATTATGCCCCCTATCAACTTATCTCTATAATTAAGTGTATGGGTAACCTACTCCCCTAACAAAAGACAATACTCTATAAAACCTGAGGACTTAAAAAGCGGTTGAGCCCCTCCTTGAAAAATATTGAAAGCATGTGCTTCTCAGGCCCTGCCAGTCAGTACCCATGAAATACCCCTATTCTCCCAATACAAAAACCAAATGGAGAATACCAGGGTGTACAGGACCAAACACAGTACATAAGGTTTTAATTCTGTTACATACTGTAGTTCTAACCCTCTACAATAACTCAACTTGAATCCCAGGAGAAGCCAAATATTTTATTCCATTAGATGTAAAGGATATTTTTTTTCTGCAGCCCCCTTCATCCTGACTCCCCATCCTTGTTCGCACTTGAAAGGACTAAGCCTCAATCTAGAAAACCTGCCAATATGCATGGACTGTGCTCCCTCGGGGCCTTAGGGGCAGTCCCCATTTGTTTGGAAATGCTTTAGCCAAGGCTTTAAGAGAACTCCAATTAACCAATGAGACCCTCCTACAATATGTTGAGGACATTAATTTCTACTATTAACAAAGAGTACTCAGGTAAAAATTTCATTCTGGTGTTAAACTTCCACGCAGGTAGAGGATATAGAGTCTCTTCCCAAAAGGCCCAAATAACCTCCCAGCAGGTCCAATACCTTTCGTACTTATGTAATCCAGGAGCCCAGACCCTGTCACCCAAAAGACAATGGGCCATACCGGCTCTCGGAATCCTACAACATAAACGACAGCTTCTAGGATTTTTTGGACCAGCCTGCTTCTGCCGCCTATGGATACCAGGTTTTCGGCTAACTGCTAATCCCCTATATGAGGCTTTGAAGGGAGATGACAAAGGACCTATAGACTGGACTCCTGAATACCACCATGACTTTGAGGAATTAAAAGTCAAGCTCTGCAGTGCGCCCCACCACATTAGAGCTACCAAATCTACAAAAGCCATTTACCCTAAATAGGGCAGAAAACAGCAAAAAGCACTAGGAGTCCTCACCCAGAAATTAGGCCTGAGTCAAAGGCCAGTAACTTACTTTTCAAAACAATTACATCCTATAGCAGCCAACTGGCCACATTGTTTATGAGGTGTAGCAGTCACTTGCAGGAGAGGTCAATTACCCTGGGACAGCCAGGAGAAGTACAAACCCCCCATCAAGTACAAGCTCTGTTAGAAATAAAGGGACATCGATGGCTCACAGGGGGAAGGCTAAGTAAACAGTAGGCTCTCCTCCTTGACCCTCCTGAAATAACCCTGAAGGTTTGTCAAGCTCTCAATCCTGCCACCCTTCTAACAATAAACACAGAAAGCCAGGTCACACACCCATCCATAGAAACTATTAAACAAGGTCAAATCACTTGAGCAACTTATAGCCAGCTGATGAATCACAAGGTTTTATTTTCCCTAACAAAAGACGGTTCGGAGCAAATGGTTTACACAGTCCAGGCCGTCATGGGGCAGACTTGCCTTGGTCCTGGTCACTCTTCACAAATGTTCTTTAAAAATACGACTGACCAAAAATAACCCCTGATCCCTCTATACCCATTCTGATGAAACAGAATATTGAAGGCAACACCTGAAAATCTAATGACTATTCTGTTAAAACCCTCCCTTGAGACCTCCCCTAGCAATCCAGCTGGCCAAAGGAAGTTAAAAAGCCTCAAGGCAAAGAAACCATGTCACGCTTTCATTAAAGCACACCTATGCCTCCTACTTCTGCTGTCTTCCTCTAATTCCTAAGTGACCCCATGAGGCTTGCAACCAGGGGAGCAGTGGGCAGCAGTAGCTCATCCTGGGCTATCCCCCTATACCTGTCTCCAGGGCCGCCTTCCAGTTTTCCCTGACTGTCTCTCTCCGGTTGCACCTTCTACCTTAAGCCCTTCCTTTGTTTCACTGTCCCCAGCTTTAATAAACATACTCTCAAAATCACCTGAACTCATGTTGTGAAATGTTTCCTACCCGAAGACAAGAACCCACATACTGCTAGTGGGCCTGAGGCAGATCTGCTCTGAGCCAGACCCCATACTATATCAGTGACAATGAGGAAAGGAGAATCTTGAAATTCTCAGCCTGGAGAGAAGGGCCTTATAGCAAGTTGCATTTCTTTTTTGCATTAAATTTCATTACTTATAAGATAGAATGAGTCTTAGATAATCTGTACGGATCCTTCCAATGGTAGCATTTATTCATTGCACTGTGTGTGTCTCTGCTTATTTATCTGTCCCTTGCACTGGATTGTGAACCTCCCAAGGAAAGGCTTACCCTTGATCCTTCTTGGCTTCCTGGCACTGCCCAGCACTGGCTGCTCTCCTGGAGGAAGCAGTGAGAGTGGGGACTGGCTCCATGCCTCCTTCCTGAATATTTCCATATTCTTTCCTCCAGGCTGTTAAGGAAGAAAATAATGGAACTACCTATGTGCTCTTGGACATAGAAACCTGCTTTGTATGAAACCTGCTTTGTAAATTTGACTGGTTACTCAATATTTTAACGATTTGTTTGCCAATGCCCTCTGCATCAATTGTATAAACCATTAGATTCTCCTACTCTGTCAAATAATTTAGCTGATGGATGGAGGTAGGCAAGAGGCGGAAAGGTCTAGGGAAGAAAGGACTGAAGCAAGGAGTGGCACAGAATGGAACATTCAAGGGGCCAGTACTTGTCCAGATGAAATCATTACCCCTCAATTCTGTCTTAACCATTAACCTGCCAAATCAAACCTGGTCCAGAGCCTGGGATAGGTGCTGGAGGAGTGGGGACCAGTGACAGGGAGAACAGAAGTGGTTACAGAGATTGGGTTTATTGTTCATGGCCGTGCCTATCTTAGCATAAATAAATGAGTGAATAAATGAATTTTGGACAATGCCTATAAAGAAAGCTGGGAGTAGCGGATGGCAGCCTGGGAAGTCGGATCTGCAAATCCTATGTTACCACCTAATAGCTAATTTATAAAAAACAAAAAACAAACAAAAAACCTCATCACTTTTTAACTACTTCACTACATTTACTATTATCTATGTTCTTGAGATTTTTTTACGTCTCTTGTGTCCAGGGCTAGCTTCATGAGTGTGGAACCTGAGCAGTGACATGGGACCTTGAACTCAGAAGGATATGCGCCTGGTCTATTGCTCTCCTGTCATCATCTTGTTAATAAATTTTTAACAAGGGGTCTCACATTTTCATTTTGCACCGTGATCCAGACATTGTGTTGCGGGCCCTGGTTGGAGCTGTGTGGTGGAACCACTATACGATGGTAAGCTGCTTAGCCTCTCTTCCCAAATCAGGGTTCAGGGTCCTCTGTTGGCAGCTTGAAATAGGGCATGTGGACATCCGCAAACCCTGGAAATCAGAGGAAGCGCCCGTTGTAAAGCTTTCACGAGCGCACCACTGGACAGGCCACACTTGTACAAATATCACGAGCATTCACGCCCACCACCAGCCCACAGAACCCTGTGGGTTTTCATAAAATTTCAGAACAGGAAAGAAGGTCTTTTGGCAGAGCAAATTAATTTTATTTGCGCAGCAGTTTTGCATAGCGTTTATTGTGTGAAGAAAACGGATGACCTCAACCTTGGCATTATTTCAAAACCTAAATTCAAATCTGCCTTGATTGAAAACTGTCCCGTTTGAAATGTGTCACTCCAGCAGGGTATAAGAAGTCGCCCTGGATCGAGGTTTGCATCAGTTGATAAAGACTTAGAAATCCGGGAACTTGAGCCTGCCTCCTCTGGCCAGGCCTGAGCTGCTGCCCCCACCGCTCTCCCTCCTGCCTGGGGACGGGGCGGGGGGGAACTTCCCGGAGGGCAGAGAGACGCAGTGGGCTGGGTGACCCTCCCCAAGCGCCGGGCTTCAGAAAGATCACCCTCTCCCGGGATCCCGGGAGACTGCCCGCAGCCGGCAGCGCCCAGTGATGGAGTCTCCATGGCTGGAGACGCGCTGGGAGAGGCCCTTTTACCTGGCGTTCGTGTTCTTCCTGACCCTGGGGCTGCTGAAGACCATCAAGCTCTACCTGCGGAGGCAGCAGCTGCGGCGAGATCTGCGCGCCTTCCCCGGGCCAACCCCGCACTGGTTCACCGGGAACCAGGAGGTAGACGAAAGGGAGGGGCGGAGGACGGGGCTGGAAACCCGGCGGGCAGCGGGGCGGCTGCGAGCACCCTCCCTTTCTCCACCTTTCCATCCAGCACAGACATCTGTGGCCCAGCCTGAGGCTCTCCGCGTCTTTTCACTGTTGTAAACGTGCTCCCTCAAGGCCCTGCAGGGAAAGGGACACACCCTGGAGCCGCAGGACAGGAAGCTTTGGTGGCTGGGAGCGGGTGTTTCAGAAGACCGAATCCGGAGAACGAAAGCGCGCTGTAACTCTGGTCTGCCTGCGCTTCACCCATCTCTCTCATTTATGTACCGCATTTAAAAAGACTTCCACACTTGTAATTTTTTTTTACAGTATCATCCTAAATAATATTTATTAATTGCAGAAAATGTGAAAAATTGGATTCAGTAGTTACCAACCTTAGTCGATTCCAACTAGAGAAAAAGAACGTTCTTTTGCTGAGATTCTTGTCAATTAGGGAACAGCCCCAGCCAATCACTCAAAAAATATTGACTGATTTAAATTTGTACGGTAGAGGAAGGCTGGTACCTTTTAGTCTACTCTGTTCTCTAAATCCACTCCCACCCCTGGTTCCATGTGTTATTAAAAACATAAAGTACTAATTCTTCTAAATGCATTATTTTCAACAATCATGTAAAAAACAAAAAGTGAGTTACAAACCACTCGTACAACAACACTAGCTTTTATAATTGCCCACGCATTTACCTTTATTGAGATCTTTATGTCTTCCTATGGCTTTGGATTATTTACCAGTGTCCTTTCATTTCTCCTTTGAGCATTTCTTACAGGGCAGGTTTAGTGGTAATAAACTCCCTCAGCTTTTGTCTGTCTGGGAATGTCTTAATCTTCCCCTGAATTTGGAAGGGCAGTTTTGCTGAATATAGGACTGTGGTTAACAGTTGTTGTTGTTTATATGTGTGTGTGTGTGTGTGTGTGTGCACGCACTTGCACTTTGAATATATCGGCCCCCTGTTTTCTGTTCTTCAAAGTTTCTGATGGAAAATATCCTCTATTCTTTTTGAGAATCCTTTGTACATAAAGGTGCCTTCTCTCTTGCTGCTTTCAACGTTCCCTTTTTATATTTAATTTTTTTTTACTTAAAACCTTTTATTTTGAAATATGGATCAGTTAAATTTCAGTAGAACTAATAACTCCTAGACTATCAGATGTGTGTTTCATCCTGACGCTTATCTCCATTTTGTTTAGCTCTTTTTCTGGAATGTTGACCTCTTTCCCATTGGGGCACTGCTGTTGTTGTTTTACTATATTTTATTGATTGTGTTATTACAGTTGTCTCCTGACTTTTCCCCCTTTGCCTCCTTCCACCCAGCACTGCCCTTTCCCTCAGGCAATAATACCCCACTCTTGTTCATGATCACCGGTCATGCGTGTTAAGTTCTTTAGCTACTCCATTTCCTATACTGTACTTTACGTCTCCGTGGCTACTCTGTAACTACCTATTTGTACTTCTGAATCCACTCACCTTTTCACCAATTCCCCGACACCATCCCTCCCATCTCTTTATCTTTAACCTTTGGCATTTTAATTATGATATGTCTTAGGATGAGCCTCTTTGTGTCCATATTGTTTCGGATTCTCTGTGCTTCCTGGACTTGCATGTCTATTTCCCTCACCAAATTAGGGACCTTTTCTTTCATTATTTTTTCAAATAGATTTCCAATTTCTTGCTCTTTCTATTCTCTTTCTGGCACACCTATGAAGCGAATGTTGAATTGCTTAAAGCTATCCCACAGGCTGCTTCCACTGTCCTTTTTTTTTTTTTTTTTTTTTGATGCTTTTTTCATCTTGTTGTTCTGATTGGTTGATTTCTGCTTCCTTATGTTCCAAAATATTGATTTGATTCTCAGCTTCATCCACTGTACTGTTATTTCCCTGTAAATTGTTCATTTCAGTGAGTGTATCCTTTGTTTCTGACGGGATCGTTTTTATGCTGTTGAGGTCCTCACTAAGTTACTTGAGCATCATTATAACCAGTGTTTTGGGCTCTGCACCTGATGGATTGCTTATCTCCATTTTGTTTAGTTCTTTTTCTGGAGTTTGGATCTGTTCTTTCACTTGGGCCATATGTCTTTGTCTGCTCATTTTGGCAGTCTCTCTGTGCTTGTTTCTATGTATTAGGTAGAACTGCTATGATTCCATGTCTTGGTAACGTGGCTTAATGTAGTAGGTGTGCTGTTGGGTCTAGTGGCACAGCCTCCCCTATCACCCCAGCTGGGTACTCGAGGTAAACCCTTAGTGTGGGCAGAGTACACCCTCTTCTTGTAGTTGAGACTTGGTTGCTGTTGGCAGATCAATGGGAGGGATTTACTCAGTCCAACTATCTACAATTGGCTGTGACCACTTACCACCAACCTCCAACCTCTGTGGAGGATCAGGGGCAGAGTGGTAGTGCTCTACCGTGGTCTGTAGCTGTCCACTGGGTGTGCTGGCCCTGGGATTTCCTGGGTGGTGCAGGTCAACATCTGCCCCCACCTGTATTTTGCACAGAGCCATCCTGCCTGAGCTATAAAGCAATCTGAGATGGCTACTACTTGTGCTGGGCTTGGAAATTTCCTGGCAAAGCCAAGCTGTGACTCTAGGCTGCTAGTTCAGGGTCTGGGGCTCAGTGAGGCCAGCTGCTGCTTGTTTGAGAGGATTTAGGAAGTTGTGAAGCACGATCCAAGACAATCCATTCCTGCAGAAAAGCAGCTTGGGTGGGCACTGTTGGGGGAGGGCCCAGAAACGGAACAATGTCCATTGCTCATCTTGATGCCAGATACCTCAGCCTTCCCCTGCATAGCACTGGTGCCCCTTATGTGTTATCGCCCCTCCTATCAGTCTGGATGGATGCACTGTATTTTGCCATGTATAATGTGCACTCTTTTGCCCACATTTTTGAGGGGAAAATAAAGTTGTGCATTATACTTAGGTAGTACTGATTCTGTATCTATATATATGTTTTAATTCTTTTTTCATGCTTATGTGTTAAAAGTGAAACTCTAGAAAGCAATTACCATATCCATATGCCAAATAAGACCCAGGAATATGCTCATGGGTTTTGTGTTTATATATAGATAAATAAAAATATGAATTAAAATGTTAAAAGAAAATATTTTTTTCCTGAAAGTTTGGGTCAAAAACATGGGAGCACATTATATAGGGGGGTATATTATTATACACGGCAAAGTACGGTAGTTTCTTTAATTATGTAGTTGTCAGACTCCACTCAACTCGATTTCTGATGGTTCCGAACGATGGTTGTTCTATATTTTAGTTGTAATTTTGTTGTGGTTGCGTGAAGAGGTGAGTCATATCTGCCTATGCCGCCTTCTGGACTGAAAGTGTCCTTTTGTCTTTGGCTTTCAAAAGTTTGATTATGATGTGTCACATGGTAAGTCTCTTTGAGTTCATCTTATTTGGAGTTTTTTAGTTTTGTATATGAGTTTTTTCGTTTTAATCCTCACCCCAGGATATGTTTCTTGATTTTTTTTTTTTAAGAGAAAAAAGTAGGGAGAGAGAGAAACATGATGTGAGAGATAAACCTCTCTTGGTTGCTTCCTATACGTGCCCTGCTGGGAATTGAACCTGCAACCTACATATGCGCCCTGGCTAAGGATCGAAACCACAACCTTCTGGTGTATGAGACAATGCTCCAACCACCTGGGCCACTGCCCAGGGCAAGTTTGTTTTTGTTACTATAATACAAAAACAGTTATTGGCTTCTTGCTTTCACAGCACCGAGTGTCATATTCCTGGGCATCAGGAGGGCCTAGATGGCAATAGCAAGAGCTTATATCCAGGAAAAGCAGTAGCATATGTTAGATACATTCCTTACGTTATGCCTGCACAGAGCTGACACACAGTTATCAAAACTGGAGTGAGAAGATAGAGTAGATGCCTCAAGCCACAGGAAATCCTGTATTTCTTCTTAGACAGTAATTTGGATGTCTTCCCTTTTGAAACCTTTCTCTAATGTGGACTGGGTCAAATGTGATGAGTCTTTTTTCACACCAGAGTGAGTCATTTAGGCTGACATCAATATAGATAAGAATCACTGGCTAATTGAAATGTTTTCAGTTTTCAGCAGTGAAGAGAGTTCAGGGTTTTTTGTTTTTGTTTGTATTTAGAGATGGGGGCAGGGGGGAAAGGAAGGAGAAGAGAGGTAGGAAAACATGGATATGACCTGGAGCTGAACTTGCAACATGGGCATGTGATCTGACGAGTCAGACAGGCGACCTTTCTCTTTGAGGGATGACACGCACCAACTGAGGCATGCCAGCGAGGGCTGTGATGCGGTTATTTTAAACTGTCTTCTTTCCTATCTTCCTGCTGGTCAGCAGGGTGGAATGGTCATGGTGTGGCAGTTTACTTACTGTGAGAGGTGATGCCTGAGTGAGGGCTGTGCAGGGGCAGGTGGAGCAGTGTTTGGGAAGAGATGGTAGTAGCTGCGAGTCCTCCACTTGGGTTTGCTTCAGGTTTCACACCCCTGTATAAATGAACCTTCTGCTGTTATACAGCACAAGAATTGGATTTTCTTTGTAGATGGAGTTGGCATGTTTTTGGAGAGAAGCATTTACTATCAAGTCATTAGAAAAAATCACTCATCAGTAATTAGTGAGAGGAAAGGGAGAATGGTGAGCAGGATGCTGGGTCATGTTCAACCGCTAATAGTTACCTTTCCACATAGGAGAACAATCTTTTTCAGCCCAGACGCCACTCCTAATCCAAGTGTGTGGCCTTGGCAGGTGAGGCAGGGCATGCGACTTGGCTCCCTTCACCCTCTCAGTTGGGAAAAACAGATCACAGTGGACGTCATTTGACCGTGACTTGGTCTGGGGATACAACATACATTTATATCCGAAAGATAAGTAAACTATCCTTGTTTAAAATTCACACCCCAAGCTTAGAAATCCCAAGGAAAGCATATTCACCCACTTTCAGAAAAAGGGTCAGGGCCCCCTTCCTGGTGACCTTATCCAGACCCTGAACTCAGCTCCGGTCTGTACAAGGGGATGAGTCTCGACTGGCTGGCATCTCTAATTTCCATCGCTTTTCTCATTGCAGTTACTTCAGAGAGATAAATTGGAGGAACTTGAGGAGGTTTTCAAAAAATACCAGTGTGCCTTTCCCATCTGGATTGGGCCCTTTGAAGCATTTTTCTATATCTGTGACCCGGAATATGCAAAGATATTTCTGAGCAGAACAGGTAAGAAAAGGAATGAATCTCAGGAACCTCATCTTCCTAGGACTGACATGCACAACCCCCAGGCAGGATTCTGAAGGAATTCTGCAGCAAAGATTAGTACTGGGCCTTAGGAGACACTGGAGTAATTGTGGAGAGGCTTCCCATCAATCCTGAAGGAGATTCCCACATCCCCCAGTCCCTGTCTAGTTCAGACCTCCATGGGCCCTTTTAGGTCTCTGTAGCTTAAAGCCCAGCTGACACCACACAATCACCAGGGGCTTTCTTTCCTGAACCATTTGGTTTGGTACTTCAGTGTCAGCCGCTCTCCCCACCCCCATCCCCTTTCTTGTGTGGGAGTCTTCAGGTAGCTCTGCCTCTGCTCGTTCAGAATGTACACCTCAAGGCCAGATCATTACTTTGCTCAGACTAACTTCTTCAGTGTGGTCCAAATTTTGTTTTTGAGTTTTTGACATATTTCTCAACTGTGTTCCCCTTTAGGTCTAGGTCCTCTGACTCTCTCATCCAATTTGTTTTCAAGGTTTCAATGGTACATTATCTCATAGCACAAAATTAAAACGTCCAGTCTTTGTTCCATCAGCTTTGTAAATTAGGGTCTGATACTCAAACCTTTCTTCCTTGTGCCATTGTCTCCATTACTCTTCACAAAACCTAATGAAAGAAAGCAGCCTTTCCCATGTTTCCTATTTCCCCATTCTCTCAGATTGGTCTTATGTTCACCTCCTAAAAGACAAGAGCTATAAAACTCCTCTACGTTAGAGTTCACGAGAACCCCAATAGGCATTTGTACCTTGCTTTCTAGTGTTTCCCCAACCCCTGTTGTAATAGGTAATTTGCTTTCCAAAAAACATATGATGGGTTTTCCCAACTCCTATTCTGGAAACTGTAACCTGTGAGTAATATCTGTGTCTGAGGTGTAAAGTGTAAACGAGGAAAGAATCTGGGTTTGTGTACCTGTCTGCCTCGTATGCCTGTTCTCTGATTCCTGAACCAAGGTTTTTACCATCTGCCTCAACCCCTAAACCTGCCAAGGGCTGCAGGGAGTAATCCCTGGGCTCCCTCTTGCTGCCTGTTTGTGGTTAATGTAGGAAAATGAAGAGAAACTTCACCAACTTGGATAAATTCCCTCTAATGCTGTTGTTTGTTTCCTCTGTTTGACTCTGCAGATCCCAAGTCTAAGTACCTGTACAAGTTCTTGATTCCACTAATTGGTATGTACGTTTAAGTGAGAGGGATGACCCACTCTCTTTCTCGAAGACCCCTTTCTACAGTAGATTATTCCAAAGAAACTCACTTCAGATTTCAAAAGCATTAAGAATGTGGTAGATCTACACTACAGGTTATCTAGGGGGCAGGTCAAGAGAGAGTGCTGCAGTCAACAAAGCACAACTTCCTAGGAACCCTCCTTGTCCACTTCTGTCCCTTAAATCTCATTCTGAAGGCAGCATGTGTGTGTATCTGTCCCATTTCTGTCTTTAAAATCTCAGCGTCACTGTCCATATTCTTTTTGTTATCCTTCCTCCTCTCTTGTATTCTTATCTCCTTCCCTTCCTTTGTGGAGTTACCGATTTCTGCATGCAAACCAGTAAAATTTTTCTCGAAAGTACAGTTTGCAAATATTCCCTGAGCAGATAAATTAAGACTTTTAGTCATCTATTTGGTATTTATGTTAGACAAGAAAAGAATTAAATGCAAGTGTATGGCTTTTGGCGTTACAGTTACTTGGATTTGAATCCTCCCCTACCCTTTCCACTGACTAGTGGAGTTGGGAAGTCAATTAATCTCTCTAAGCCTCTGTTTACTCATCTTTGAAATGAGGAAGAGAGTTACATATCCAGACTGTTGCGAGGACTAAGTGAAACACATGTTCATGCCATGCACAGCAAGCCTGGTATGTTCTAAGCCTTAAGTGAATGATGGCCATTATATGTTCATATGCTTTAAGGTTCTTTTAAAGCTAAATCTTTAGTGACCCACTGGTGCAGGAGATTTGAGACATTAGCCTTAATGATCATTTCCAGTTAGTATCATTTATGGGTGTGAAGCGCAACCTAGGGCTCAAGGAGGGGACATCTGGGAACATAATGGACACTCTTGTCTAGTTTCTTGTGAATTTTGTGTTCACTACATAGTTTGGATTGCTCTGGAGTGAAAGAATGAGAATATTTGTTCTGTTTCTACTGTCAGCTAGAGATCAGTCTAGGTGCCTTATAGATATACTTCGATTTAATCTGCACAACAACACAGTGAAGTAGATATTTATCACACTTATTCATTGAGAAAATCAAGCCCCAGGAAGGTTAAGTGACTTGCTCAATAATGATGCAGCTAGAAACTAATGATTTCAGGATGAGCACTCTCCTAAGGCTTCATAAAGTGGATGTTTTCTGATAATTCTAAATACATTCATCCCAGATGTAAGCATCGAAACTGACCTCAATCTTAATATATGAGCACTACTTTGATACTGCATCATGTCATGACTGCAACATGGTCCCTCCGTGGTGTGTGTTCCTCACATCCCCTTCACCATCCCTGCTAATGAAATGCTTTTGTGCCTCTTACTTCTCAAGGAGAAGGACTACTGAATCTACATGGACCCAAGTGGTTCCAGCACAGACGCATACTAACTCCTGTATTTAATTTTAATATGCTGAAGTCTTACGTCAAGGTGATGGCCCAGTGTGTGAATGTAATGCTGGTAAGTGAAGGGATAAAAGTGCTCTAATGTGTTGCAAAAGACTTCGAACGAGGATTACTGGGTAGTGAAAGTCAAAGGGGGATGAGTTCTAGAAATCAATCAATGTACAAGTACCCTCTGGAAACGGTTTGTATATACGCCTTTGCTATGGTTTTTGGGTGATAAGAAAAGAAGATCCAGTTGTCTGTCTTAGATATATTTTGGGATCCTATGGCAATAAATCAAAGTAATAAGATTCAAATGGTAAATGCTGTGGGTGACACGTAAGGAAAACTGGAATAGCTATAACAGCTTCAGATTCAGAGGACACTCAGATTTATCATGAAACAGGAGGTGGATTTGAATACGTGAATAACATGGATGAGGGAATTTAGGCAGAGTGAGTTAGCATGAACAAAGATTTAGTGGTCGGAATGAACTTGCCTGATTGCCATCAATGGCCAGGCAAATGATAAGTGTCTACATTACAGTCATAGATATGGGTTTCCTCCTGTAGGCAACAGAGGATCATTAGGTACTGATCAGCACTCTTCCAAGGGGACAGCAGGCAGTTGCAGAAGGATGTTCCTACCCGTACTCCCTGATGTACACATGAGTTCTATTCCAAACCTCCCCTTGCACAAGATAAAATTTTACATTGTACCTGTTTAAAAATCATACAAGCAATTCACTAATACAGTTTTATCATTAATGTTTCCAACACCGCAAACAAAGCCAAAGTTTCCCCCCTTCATCTGAAACCTATCCCTTCCCATGAGACCTCCTGATTGGCTGGGTTCTCAGCCTTGCTCCCAGGGACGAATTTAACCTCCAGTCTGCTGGGACAGTGGTGAAAGTGAGTACCAGTGTGAGTTGTCCAGGCAGAGAGCCTGAAGTGCAGGTTAGAGTGGGAGAGGGCATGCTCTTCCGAATCCGGTGCTGTGCCCCATAGGCACAATTGCGTATCAGCCAGTGGTGGTATTTGGTATTTGAGTTTACCACCATTTCAACAAACCATTCCTGTCTCCCTCACCTCTAGGTCCTGCATTTCCCTGAGGTTCTTCTCACAGCTCTTCCCTCTGCTGCATTGTGCCAAAGTGCCTCCCGCTTTGAGCCTCCCCTTTGCTCTCATTTCTTCTAAATTCACTTTTGGACCCAGTAAAACTTACATAATTCAGGGTGAAAGCAATTGACGAACAGTTGACACTTAGGTAACAGCTTGAAAACCATCTCTTTGTCATGGCCTCTGAATCCTTAGGATGTAGCTATAGGCAGAGGTGCTCAAATGTCAGTTGATCTGAACTTATGCATTTAGATTTATTTGCATTTTTGCTCTTAATGTTCCAAGCTTATTTTAAGTGTGTTTATGGTGGTTGAGAGTAGTGATGGGGTGGTGTGTCTAACAGTTTAGGGACTAGAGATGGAGAAAGCCCTGAGGAGCCCCCTTGTAATTATGGGTCTTTTGTCAGAGAGCATCTGTTTTACTGGAACTCTGATCTGTTTTAAAGCACGATTATGGTACTACTTGACAGGGCAACGATACTGAATTCAGCCGTTTACTGGATACCTAGTTTGCTCCATGCTCTTGCTTACTCAGCGGGGTGCATGGTGTCCCTGTTCTAACTCCAAGTAAACAGCTTTTTGCCTGTATGAATTTTGGCTCCTGCTAGGTCAGAGTTGTCTCTATTACATCTTAAGGGCAGGGTCAGGGAGACACCTTCAGATAAAGGCACTTTGATGGTGATGTTGTTCATCTTGACTTCCTATATCAGGGTAAATGGGAGAAGATGTGCGGCACTAGCGATACGCTTGTGGAGATCTTTGAGGACATCGTTTTGATGTCTATGGACATACTCATGAAATGTACCTTCAGCCGGGAGACCAACTGCCAGATAAACAGGTCAGTAATAGGAGGGCAGAAAAGACATTTGTTTGCTATTATCTAAGTCACATATTGACATATTATCTCCACTTTCTCTCTAGCTCCCATGATGATTATGTAAGGGCAATTTCTGAAGCCAGCCAAATCATCTTTAAACGCATGTCCAATTTCTTATATCAAAATGATGTGATTTTCAAATTCACTCCCGCTCACCACCGCTTACAGAAGATAGCCAACATTCTACATCAGTACACAGGTATTTCTGGAGTTTGGGCTGCCTGAATACAACCACTGTCAGAACTGTTTTGTGTCTGTGTAGAGGAGTAGGCCTCAGTGTGGAAAAAGAAAGCGTTCTTGTTTTTAATGGAGCTTTTATATGGACACTGCTCCAGTGAAATGCAAGTCCTTTAGAAGAGCTTGCTACATCCATCGTTGTCATCTTATAAGTTTTCTACATATTATGTATACTTTTTGCATTATTTTTATTAATACAAATATAACTATTGGGCACTTAACTAGTTCAAAGCATAAAAGACATTTGGCTTTTCACACCATGACTGCAGTAGAAATGACTTGTGAAAAATATTCACACAACATAGGAATGATGCGGGGAGAGAGTAAACGTGACCATACATTCCAAAGAAGGAAATGAGTTTTCCAACGGGTATGAAGTTCAAGTTATGGAAGATGAGTAAGTTCAGAGAACTGTTCTACACATAGTGCCCATAGTTAACAAAAGTGTATTGTACACTTAAAAATGTGTTAAGTGGGTACATCTCAGGGTAAACATTCTTACCAGAATAAAAAAATTTTAAAAAGTTAAAAAAAAGAATAGTTCAAAAATAGTTTTAACAAAACCTAGACATAAAAGTGAAAGAGGTTTAGCTTTCTAAGCAATTCAGCTTTACTTTAATGAACACCGTAATAGAGAATGTTTATCAAGCAGTTAATTCACCCATTTTTAGCTCCACCACTTACTAGCAGGATGACTTTGGGCTAGCTACTTACTGCTTTTCTCATAGTTTCATCTGTAAAATGAGGGTAGAAAAATGATCTAGCGCATAGGTTTGTGGTCATGATTAAATATGTTAATATATTTAAAGTCCCTCAGGCAGCCCCTAAAACCAAATAAATGCAACTATAGTATATATTTGCCCCTGGGAAATTTGCAAGGCACACCCTTTATCAGATGATTCACTGGCAAAAATCTTCTTGCATTCATCAGGTTATCTTTTTGCTTTATTCATGGTGTATTTTGCTGTGCAAAAACTTTTTTGTTTGATAAAGTCCTGTTTGTTTATTTTTTATTTTGTTTCTTTTGCCTAAAATAATCAGAAAAAATATTCCTAAAAGCAATGTCAGAGAATTTACTGCCTATGTTTTACTCTAGGAGTTTTATGGTTTCAGGTCTTACACTTAAGTCTCTAATCCATTTCGAGAAGGTAGTCTAGTTTCATTTTTTTGCATGTGTTTGTCCATTTTTCCCAAAACCATTCATTGAATAAACTGTCTTTACCTCATTGTATATTTTTGCCTCCTTTCTCATAGGTTACTTGAACACATAGGCATGGGTTTATTTCTGGGCTCTCTATTCTGTTGCATTGATCTATGTGTCCGGTTTCTGGCAGTTATGCTGTTTTGATTATTATTGCCTTGTGGTGTACTTAGGTATCAGAGTGATACCTCCAACTTTGTTCTTTCTCAAAATTTTTGTGACTACTTCAAGACTCTTTTGGTTCCATATACATTTTTGGATTATTTATTTTAGTTTTGTAAAAAAAAAGTCATCGGTATTTTGATGAGGATTCCATTAAATCTATAGATTGCTTTGGGTAGTGTGAACATTTTAACGATATTAATTCTTCCCATCCATGAGTACGGTATGTGTTTCCATTTGTTTGCATCTTCTTCAATTTTATAATTTTCTGAGTTCAGGCATTTTACCTCCTTGGTTATGTTTATTCTTGGGTACTTTATTTTCTTGATTCAGGTTTTTGGGGTTTTTTAAAGATTTTTATTCATTCATTCATTCATTCATTCATTCATTCATTTATTAAATTTATAAATCATGTTTATTCTATTACACTTGTCTCAGTTTTTACCCCTTTACCCCCCTCCACCCACCCCACCCCAAACCCCCCCCCCCACAGTCAATTCCCACTCTGTTCTCTGTGTCCATGGGTCATTCATACATGTTTTTTGTCTAGTCCCTTCCCTTTCTTTCCACCATTGTTCTCTTCCCCATCCCCTTTGGTCACTTTCAGTCTGCTCCATGTTTCCGTGCCTGTGGTTTATTTTGTTCGTTAGTTTATTTCCTTGAATAGAGTCCACTTATAGGTGAGATCATATGGTAATTGTCTTTCATCAACTAGCTTATTTCACTTAGCTTAATGTTCTCCAGTTCCATCCATGTTGTCACAAAAGGTAGGAGTTCCATCTCTCTCTCTTTCTTCTTAAGTGCAGATTGATTTTATTTATTTTTTCAAACATCGAAGTTAATTCTAAAATATTAAAAAATTTAAAACCATTATAAAGTCTCAGCAGTTAAACCAACATGACACCAGCACAGAAATAATGAAGTAGATCGATGAAATATAATGAGTATTCTAGAGAGAAATGTATATATCTATCTAACAATATAGGATTAACTTGATATTTCAAATCAATGGGTTAAATAAGGCTTATTCAACAAATAAGGTGAATGGACCACTATTACTTGAAATAAAACAAATATAGAGCCCTATTTCACACATTATACAAGAAATATTCAGGTGACTTAAAAATCAAAATGTAGACTCTAAGGAGTTTTAGAAGAAAATAGAACTACTATTTTTCATGTCCTGAAGTAAAATATTCAAACCCAGGAGCTATAAAGTAAATATTAACAATATGATTATATTAAACATTTAACTATATGGTAATATATGTATAAAAAAGTTAAAGGACAAGGGATATAATAGAAAAGTATTTGCAACACATCTAAAACATCATTAATAGGTTTTTTTGTTTTTGTTTTTTTGAAAAAAAGTTCTACAAACCTTTAATCAATAAATGGATAAGACTACCAAAAAGTCTTTTAAAGTTTTTTTTTAAATAATAGAAATAGGCAAGAACTATACTAAAACAGGTTTAGTTTCAACAAATAGTAAAGGAACAATTAAAATAACATCATTATCACAATCAGATTAATGAGTATTAAAAATATTGGTTATATCAAGTATTGGTAACTCTGAAAGGAACTGGGTATTCATAGAAACTTTTTATTCATCTTGAAGCAGTTCCTTTAGCATATATTGCAGTGCTGGTTTGGTGGAGGTGTATCCTTTCAGCCTTCTTTTATCTGGGGAAACTCCTTATTTCACCTTCCATTTTAATTGAGAGCCTTGCTGGGTAGAGCAGTCTTAGTTGCAGGCCTTTGTGTTTCAATACTTAGAATATTTCTTGCCATTCCCTTCTAGCTTGCGGTATTTCTGTTAAGTCAGATGCTAACCGTATTGGGGCTCCCTTATATATTATTTCCTCTTTCTCCCTTGCTTCCTTTAGGATTCTCTCTGTTTGTCTTTGATATTTTCCATTTTGATTATGGTGTGTCTTGGAGTGGGCCTCATTAGGTTGCTCTTGAATGGGACCCTCTGTGCTTCTGGGATTTGTGTGGCTTTTTCTCTCCTCCAATTGGGGAAGTTTTCCACCATTATTTTTTCAAACAGGTTCTCTATCCCTTCCTCATCCTCTTCTCCTTCTGATATCCCTATTATATGGGTATTATTACATTTCAGGTTGTCCTGCATTTCCCTAAATGCCTCTTCATTCTTTTTGAGTCTTTTTTCATTTTCTTGCTCCTTCTGGGAGCTTTTTGCTACCTTGTCTTCCAACTCGTTGATTTGGTCCTCAGCTTCATCTAGCCTGCTTTTGATTCCTTCTACTGTGTTCTCGAATTCAGAAGTTGTATTCTTCATTTCCTCTTGAAGAATAGTTTCTATGTCCTTTTTCATGCTGATATAGTTTGCGGTAACTTCCTTGTAGTTTCCCTATAGTTTTTTGTAATTCTCTCTGAGCTCATAGAGCTCATTGAGCTTCCTTAGAACCATTGTTTGGAATTCAATATCTGATAGTTTACTTGCCTCTATTTCATTTAGTTCTCTTTGTGAGGATTCCTCCTTTCCCTTCAAGTGGGGCGTATTTCTTTGTCTTCCCATTATTTGTGAGACTCTTCTCTTTTGCTTCTGCTTCTTAAGTTGATCTGTCTTGATATCCTGACTTTGTGGTGTGAACTTATATGATTGGAGACCTATTTTTTTTTTTTTTTACTTTTTGGATCTACCTCTGATGATGTCAGATGTTGACCCTGTCTGACCTTAGGCAGTCTGTTTGAGACTTCAGGTAATCTATTGTCTGTGGCTGTCTCCTTCAGCTGTTAATCTATTCACTCTGCACTCAGCAGGCTGCCTTAGACAGCTCAGGGCAGGGCAGAGACCCTCCTGGGAGCAGGGCTATTGGATCTTCTCATGATGGTGCATACAGGGGATGAGACCGCACTAGGATCCCACCGGCTACTCTCTCCATTCTCTCCCCAAAGCTTCTGTCCCCAGTCTCTCCTGAAGTGTTGCCAGACCTCTCTGCGTCCCCTTTAGCCTGGGATCTACTGTCTGCGGCTGCCACTCTGCACTCTGCAGGCAGCTTAGACAGCACAGGGCAGGGTGGAGTCTCACCTAGGGGCGGGGCCATTGGGTCCTCTGACACTGCTGCCACATGTGGGATGAGTTAGCACCGAGATCCTGCTGGCTACTCTCTCAGTTCTCTCTCCAAAGCCTCCTTCCCCAGTCTCTCCTCAGACGTCTCTAGCCCACTCTGCCCCCACCTTTGCCGGAAACCAGGGTAAGTGGCTGCAAATAAAAATGTATGCGTTGGCCCTTTAAACAGTTCTTTGCATCTCCAGCCACCTGTCTCTGGCAGAGAGCAACCCTGCCACTTTTCGCAGCTGGCTGTTTTCTGTGCACTTTTTAGGCTCTGATGCTGTGGGCTAGAGATCCCCGCTTTTGGTTTAGAGCCTGCTCTCCTCAGGGGGATCCAACTGGCCATTTCAATGTCGTTCTGGTGCTGCCGCCTGTGGGCACCCCGTCTTCCCTCTTTAGTCTGTACCTCACTCCTTACCAGTGAGATTGCGCTAAATCTGATTCTTCTGTCTCCAAGGTTACAAGGCTCCTCTCGCGCTATTGTTCAGTTGTTTGTTCCAGGTGATTTCTCCACAATTTAGTTGTAATTCCAGGTTGGTCCTGGGAGGAGGTCACCGTGACTTCCGCTCACTCCTCCACCATCTTGATTCCCTGATTCAGTTTTAAATGGGATTGTTTTCTTAATTTCTCCTTCTGATAGTTCATTATTGGTATATAAAAATGCAACCGATTTCTGAATAGTATATTTTTATCCTGTTATTTGACTGAATTTTTTTTATCAGTTCTAAGAGTTTTGAAGGGGTTTTTTTGTTTACTTGTTTTTGGTGGACTGTTTAGGATTTTCCATATATAGTATCATGTCAATTACAAATAATGAGCGTTTTATACTTCTCCATTTCCATTTTGGATGCATTTTATTTCTTTTTTTCTTGTATGATTGCTATAGCTAGGACTTGGACTACTATATTGAATAGAAGTGGTGAAAGTGGACATCCTTGTCGTGTTTGATTTTAGCTTTTCAATGTTGAGTATGCTGTTAGCTGTGGGTTTGACACATGTGGACTTTATTATGTTAAATTATGTTTCCTTTATTCCTACTCTGCTCAGAGTTTTCTTTATCATAAATGGATGCTGGATTTTGACAAGTGCTTTTTCAGCATCTATTTATATGATCATATAATTTTTATCTTTCATTTTGTTTATGTGGTGTATCACATTGGTTTGTGAATATTGAGCAGACCTTGCATACCAGGAATAAATCTCCTTCATCATGGTGTATGATCTTTCTAATCTATGACTGAATCCAGTTTGCTAATGTTTTGTTGAGGATTTTTGCACGTGTGTTCATTAGGGATATTGGCCTCTTGTAAAGTCTTTGTCTGGTTTTGCAATCAGGGTAATGCTGCCCTTGTAAAATGAGGTTGGGAGCCTTCCATCCTCTTCAATTATTTGGAATAGTTTGAGAAGAAGAGGTGTTATTTCTTCTTTGAATGTTTGGCACAAATCCATGTGAAGTGATTTGGTCCAGGACTTCTGTTTTTTGGGAGGAGTTTTCTGATTACTGCTTTGTTTCATTAGTTGTAAGATTTTCTGTTCAGATTTTCTTCTTGATTCAGTCTTGGATGATTGTATGTTTCTGGGAAGTATTTCCACTTCTAGGTTGTCCAGTTTGATGGCATATAATTGTTCATTGTATTTTCTTATAGAATGCTGTATTTCTGTGGTGGCAGTTATCACTTCCCATCTTTTATTTCTGTATTTATTATTTGGGTTCTCTCTTTTTTCTTGATGAGTCTGGTTAAAGGTTTATAAATTTCATTTATCTTTACAAAGAGTCAGCTCTTTGTGTCATTGATCTTTACATAATATTTTAGACTTCATTTTTTTTTATTTCCACCCTGATCTTTATTATTTCCCTTTTTCTAGTCACTTCGGGCTTTGTTAGTTGCTCTTTTCTAGACACTTTAGGTGTAAGGTTAGATTGTTTGTTTGAGATTTTTTTTGTTTCTGGCAGAATGCCTATATTGCTGTGAAGTTCCCTCGTAGAACTACATTTGCTGTATTCCACAGATTTGAGGTCATTTTGTTTTCATTATCATTTGTCTCAGGTATCTTTTGATTTCTTCCTCCATCTCATATAAACTCATTCATTGTTTCATTGCATGTTATTCAGCCTGCATGTGTTTGTGTGTTTTTTTTAGTTTTCTTCTTGTATTGATTTCTAGTTTCATACCATTGTGATCAGAGAAACTGTTCAGTATGATTCAATCTTCTTAAGATTAATGGGTCTTGTTTTATGACCTAACACGTGGCCAACCATGGAAAATATTCCATTTGAGCTTAAAAGCAATATATATTCTTCTGCTTTGGAGTGAAATGTTTTTAAAATATCATTTAAACTCATCTGGTCTAATATGTCATTTAGGGCCACTGTTTCCTTGTTATTTTCTGTCTGGAAGATGTATTGATTGCTGTCAATGGAGCATTAAAGTCCCCTACTATGTCTGTATTACTGTTGACCTCTCCCTTTATATCTGTTGTTATTTGCTTTATATTTAGTGGCTCCTCTATGGGGTGCATAAGTGTTTAAAGGGTTATATCCTCTTATTGGATTGATCTTCAAGTCTATTTTGTCTGATATAAGTATTGCAGTCGCATTTCTTTTTATTTATTTATTTATTTATTTTTTATTGTTCAAATACATTTGTCTCCACCTTCCCCCCACCACTTTCCCCTGCCCCCCTCTCCCACCACCCTCCCTCAATCCTTTCCCACTTTGGCTTTGTCCATGGGTCCTTTATACATGTTCCTTGACTTGACCCTTCCCTTCCCATTCCCTGCCGCGCACCCCTCCTTCCCTCTTGATTCTTTTGGTCTCTTTTTTCTTTCAGTGTTGCTCGTTATATTTTCCTTGCTTTTTTGTTTTGTTGGTTAGGTTCCATTTATAGGTGAGATCATATGGTATTTATCTTTCGCCCCCTGGCTTATTTCACTTAGCATAATGCCCTCTAGTTCCATCCATGCTGTCGTGAAGGGTAGTAGCTCTTTCTTCCTTTCTGCTATGTAGTATTCCATTGTGTAAATGTACCATAGTTTTTTGATCCACTCATTTAGTGATGGGCAGTTAGGTTGCTTCCAACACTTGGCTATTGTAAATTGTGCTGCGATGAACACTGGGGTGCATAGGTTCTTTTGAATTGATGTTTTGGGATTCTTAGGGTATAATCCCAGCAGTGGAATCACTGGGGCAAAAGGCAGCTCCATTTTCAGCTTTTTGAGGAAATTCCACACTGCTTTCCACAGTGGCTGCACCAGTCTGCATTCCCATCAACAGTGTACTGGGGTTCCCTTTTCTACACAGCCTCGCCAGCACCCATTGTTTGTCGATCTGTTTATGATGGTCATTCTGACTGGTGTGAAGTGGTATCTCATTGTGGTTTTAACTTGCATTTCTCTGATGGCTAGTGATGCTAAGCATCCTTTTATATGTCTCTGGTCCCTCTGTATCTCTTCCTTGGAGAAGTATCTGTCCAGGTCCTTTGCCCATTTTTTAATTGGATTGTTTGTCTTCTTCGAGTGGAGTTGTGTGAGTTCCTTGAATATTTTGGAGATCAAACCCCTTTCTGATGTATCATTGGCAAATATATTTTCCCATACCCTTGGCTCCCTTTTCATTTTGTTGATGTTTCCTTTAGCCATGCAGAAGCTTCTTATTTTGATGAGGTCTCACTTGTCTATTCTTTATGTCCCTTGCTTTAGGGGATGTATTGATGTATATATTGCTGTGTGGAATATCTGATAGTTTCCTGCCTATGTTCTCCTCTAGGACTTTTATGGTGTCATGACTTATATTTAAGTTTTTTATCCATCTTGAGTTTATTTTTTGTGTATGGTGTCAGTTGGTGGTCGAATTTCAATTTTTTGCATGTAGCTGTCCAGGTCTTCCAACACCATTTGTTGAAGAGATTATTTTTACTCCAATTTATGTTTCTGCCCCCTTTGTCAAAAATTAATTGACCATAGAGACATGGGTTTATTTCTGGGCTTTCTATTCTGTTCCACTGATCTATGTGCCTGTTCTTGTGCCAGTACCAGACTGTTTTGATTACAGTGGCCTTGTAATATAGTTTGATGTCAGGTATTGTGATCCCTCCTACTTTGTTTGTCTCTCTCAAAATTGCTGTGGCTATTCAGGGTCATTTATGGTTCCCTATAAATTTTTCAAATGTCTGTTCTATGTGAAATACGTCATTAGTATTTTAATAGGGAATGCATTGAATCTATAAATTGCTTTGCGTAGTATGGACATTTTGATGATGTTAATTCTTCCAATCCATGAACACGGTATATACTTCCATTTATTTGTGACTTCCTTAATGCCTTTCTTCAGGGTGGTATAGTTTTTGCAGCCTCATTTCTGCTTTTGAACTCTGCATCTGGTAACTTGGTTGCCTCCATTTGTAGTTCTTTTTCTGGGGATTTCTTTTGTTCTATCATTTGGGGCATGTTTTGTTTTCCCCCCACTTTGTCTGCCTTTTTGTGTTTGTCTCTGTGTATTGCATAAAACTTCTATGTCTCCCATCTTGTTATCATGGTCTTATGTAGTCGATGTCTTGTGGGACTCAATGGCACACTTTTCCTGATCATCTTAGCTAGGTGCTCCAGGAATGTCTTTTGAGTGAGTTATGTGAGCCCTCTGGTTGCAGCTGAGTCTTAGATTCTATTGGCCCATCCATGTGCTTCCCAATTCTTAATTACCACAAGTGGGTGTAGGAAAAACTGGTTTCACGTCTCCACCCCTTACCAGCCTCAACGTGGCTTCTTCTTGATATCCTTGGTTATGAGAGTTCTGTTCACCTAGTGTTCAGGTGGTTCTCAAGGGTGGTTGTTCTGTAATTTTGTTGTAGTTTTGAGGTGGTGATGGGAGGAGCCAGCACAGCATTTACTTACCCTACCATCTTGACTGGAAGCTTCTGTCTTTGGAACTTTGATCAAATATTGTCATTTGATAGGAAAAATAAACATCTGTAAAAATTAAATCTGTTTAAATAGGTATGCCCCCTCTGACTTCAGGAAATTAGGCAAGATTTGAAGCTACTCATGGGCCATGGCTTGCTCTATAATTTATTTTATTTTGATTTACTTTGATGTCACTTTCTTAATGGGGGATATTTACTACCACAGAGCTGATAATCCAAGACAGAAGGAAGTCCCTCAGGGATAAGAAGGAACAGGGTAATACTGAGAAGAGGAAGTTTCAGGATCTTCTGGATGTTATCCTTTCTGCCCAGGTAAATCTTCCAAATTTCTGAGCCTGCTCATACATCTAGTTCATTTTTTGGGTAGGTAAATAGGAAGTGGAAGGAGAGGAGACAAAGGCAAAATTGACCAACTAAATTTAACAATGCTTTTTAATTGATGAGTTGGCTCTGTACATTTTGAGGTGAAGGTAGAGCTCTGCAGCTTTGTCACTAGAGAAAATCAGGTAAGACTAAAGTTTTTCATTGATTTGACTGGTTGGGTGACTATCATAAAGATACTTGATAGGTGAGTAAATAAGAAAATTCACCACAGAGTAAGCTGATAAAATATTGATGATAATGTGCTGGAAATTCTGGAAAAATCACACAGATTGATTGGAGGAACTCTTTGCAAGGCCTGCTTTGCTTATCTAAGTTTGGTCCTGTTTTATGCTCTCAGCAAATTGTTTCTCATAATATATATTTGTTGAACCAAATTAAAATGGAAACTCTCATTGGAAATGCCATTTTTCTCCTTAAGACCATGTTTTGATTGGGACTCCAAACATCTATAAACAGAAATTTCATGAAAATATCTCCATTGTACTTTCTAGGCTGAAAATGGCAACAGCCTCTCAGATACTGACCTGCATTTCGAGGTGAACACATTCATGGTGGCAGGGCAGGACACCGTGGAAGGGAGCATCTCCTGGCTCCTCTACCACCTGGCTCAGAACCCTGAGCATCAGGAGAGATGCCGGGAAGAGATCAGGGGCATTCTGGGGGATGGGTCTTCTATCACCTGGTAAGATCTGCATCCCTAAACATTTCATCCTGGGTTTCCTCCTGGGATTTTGCTTTATTCTTTCTTGTTCTGGCATGCTGATGACTGTAAATGATGCTTCAAGGATGTGTATGTGGAAACAGAAGAGGCAGGTTACCATTCTGCTCTTTTTCTAAGGTGCTCCAAATTATCCCTTTGCATTTGGAAAAGAGGTTCACACATTCATAACTTAACTGTTTCATTGTTTTACTAATCAGTAGGTGCAAAATGTCTTATTTCTTTCTTTCACCCACTTTCTGGTGCATTGGATATGGGAACTTGATCCTTAGAGTTGCATGTAGAGCTTGAGTGGTAGGGCTCAAGTGGGGTTCCTCCTGCCAGAGACCTGGGTGATCACCTGCATCATTTAGGCCTCATTGCAGACTTTCTCTCCCATCTCCATGTCCATTCATCATGTTTGGCATTAGACATTGAACATAGTACTAAAAGATGCACTCTGAAGTTGCGTTTAGCAAATATGGACTGAGGACATTTTATGTACATGTAAGATTTGGTGGCTCCTACCCTCAATGAGCTCACACCCTAGGACAGGAGTCAGGTCTCCCATACAGATAATTGCAGAATAGCATGGTAAGGACAAAAGAGATGAGCTGGCCACCACAGAGACTTAGAAGACAGGTGCCTAAGCTGGCATGGGGGCTCAAGGAAACTTACTGGGAGATCTGATGCTTCAGGTGCCTCTTATCAGATGGGAAACAGTTAGCCGGGTGGAAAAGTTAACTTCGTTTTGCTAGACTTTGAGCCTGTCCAGCTGTTAATGAAACCCAGGTCCGTGATGCCCCTTAAACATGCTGTTTGCCAAGAATATACATGTCCCGGATATAAACCACATTCTTCATCCTAGCTAGGCAATTCACATATTGTTTTGCTGGTCGAAGGCGCAAAAAAATAGATATGCTACAGGCAATGCAGCACCATGTGAGGCGGCGAAACATTGTGTTACAAAAACAATGGTCAGCTCAATTAGAACATTTGGAAAGGAAAATTTGGATTATATTTGTATAATAGAGATCTCAATTTATATGAGAAAGTAATAGATATTTCCTACTATAAATTAAAGGTCTGTTCTATATAGCACAATGCAGTGTTCACTTGTCATTTCTAATTCACCCATTGAATTTAAAAATGCTATATACTATCTCCCAACATTAATTAGGTATTTTAACCTTGATTATGTTGGAAATATATACAACTCAAATAATGACATGTCTCATTCTTATCTGGCTTCTGAAAACAATAAAGAAATCTTTCCAGATAAGAAAACAATGTGCAGAGGATCTTTTAACAACCATTTATTTTAATGAGAGTAATGGAAATAATATTATAGGGAATAAAATATGTTTATTTCTAAAATATGGCCTTATAGTTACATTTAATGGAATTTATACATAGCATTCTGAGAATTGATGATTCTGTTCAACAAATAATAAAACCACACCACAGAAAGCAATTTTTGGAAAGTCAAAAAAATGTGTGATGTCTCTCTTTCAATTCTTATCAGGCCATTTCTGTTTTGGGTTACAATTCCTCTCTTCTTTTCACACCAGGGCTGAGATGGACAACATTGTTTTTTCTTAATTATGGAAAGTTCCAGACTAAGCACAAGATTGTTTTTATTCTGGGCTCGAGGAGGAAAGAGTTCAAAATTAAAATTTCACGTTACCAAATGGCCCAAGCCTGCATTCAAAATAAGTAACAGAAGAGCAAACAGAAATACAATAAAGCAAATAGACTAAGGGATATATACAATCATTTCATTGAATCAACCTGGCTAGCCAGGATGCAAATTAAAAACTTTATTGTTCTCCTGCCACCACTTCAAACTTGCTGTGTGGGGCAGGTTCTTCAGGTCTGAGATCTGGAGTGAATCTTACATATTGTGGTTGATTTAAATCACAAGAGCAGGCTCATTCCAGTCACTAAGCTGTCTGATCCAGGATAGTATTAAAAACTTCCAATTCCTATCCACTTGGAGCATCTCCCTCTCTCCCAGCTCAGTACATTTTTGAGTCTGGAAGCCAGCGGTGGGTAAGGGGCTGTGGCTGGCTCCTTCTTATTGACCAGCTCCTTCCCCAGCCTGAGGTGTCTGACCCTTCCAGAAATGGTTTCAGGAAGGAGAGAGGATAAGGGGAAAGCGAGGCTGATACTGTTGTGATCTTGCCCTCTGCTTGGTGCATGTTAAAATGCCTCCTTTCCTTCTCAGTGGATACTTCTGTGGGTTTCTGGGAGATTCCCTCACTGGGGCTTTGCAGTGGTGATTCACAGGGCAAGGAAATTCTTGTCCTTAAGAGTTCCCTTCAAGCCGGTACCAGAGCTCTCCCTCTGGCCAGTTCACTGGCCCATAGGCACACAGGAGCATTCTTGCTTTGTCCCAGTTGTTCTGCCCTGCCTCTCTGTCTGTCTGAGTCATGGCCTTTCCTAGCAGTTCTATGCTCCCCAAACTCTAGGGAACACAGGTCAGATCACCTGGCCGATCCTCTTGAACCACCTCTGCTTCATGGGAAGGAACACCCTTCTACATTTTCCGCGGTACTTCGGCACTCCGACAATTCTCTTTAAAGGATTGTTTTACTATCAAAACTCTTAAGCCTCCTTTCTTCAGTCCTATGCATTGTTCATCTGTATGATGAGCTAAGTATTGCAAAACTCATTTTCAGAAATCTCCATAGCAAATCCTCTACTGGTACTTCAGCACTTCACTTTATAATGAAGATATTTGGCGCCTGTCTGGTTCTTCTTCCTCTGGGATTGCAGCTCACCCTATAGCAGAAAGAGTCCCATTTTAACATTCTGTCACATAACCAAATGGAACACTAGCTTTTAGCTGAGGATGATATTCACCAGGAACAATTATGAAGGAGAAAATAATCTATGTTTACAAACTGGATATGGAGTCTGAGTTTCTTTCCCTCCTTCCCTTCTATTCACAGGGACCAGCTGAGTGAGATGTCCTACACCACAATGTGTATCAAGGAGTCTCTCCGATTAATACCTACAGTCGTAGCCATTTCCAGAGAACTCAGCAAGCCCATAACCTTCCCAGATGGACGCTCCTTGCCTGCAGGTCTTTTGCATTATTTTCTTAAGCAGTTCACAGAGACTGTGGGATCCTAGGAACCACAGTAAAAGACCAGTGGCTTTCTCAACTCTGGGAGAAGTCAAAAGACCATCCTAAAGACACCTGGCTTAAGGTTGGGCATCTATAAAGTAAGAGCTCAGTGGGCATCACCTTAACCACATGGCAGTTGCAGAGACTTTCCCAAAGACACGTAACCATTTGCAGCAAAGCTATGCCCAGAACCTGTGTTGCCAGACTCCAAACCCAGGGTTTCTTCCACTGTGAGAAATTGATTTTAAGATAATCCTTGTTTGGTTGGGTTTGAGACCCTGGTGAGACTTCAGGGGAGGTGAGCATCATTATCTTAATCTAAAAGAGCCAAGGGAAGTTTTTGGTTTCATTGTCACAATAATAACACCCTAATAAGTGGGCAGCACTTGGTATTTTACCGAGAGTCTCCAAATAGCCTGTCTCAGTTTTTTCCCTGGAACATGATCTTAGCGAACACTTTTATAGAGCTTTGCTCTTGAAAATCACACTCAAATATTTTTCTTACAGCCCAAATTCTGTCATGGGACCCCAGTGTGCAGAGAGCAGAGCTAGAACTCACACACAGGCCCTGTGCCCAGAGCCAAGGGCTCTTCAGGACAACACAGGTTTCGGAGCAGGGTGAGAGGGAGGCAGAGGGTCATATGAGACACCCTTCCCGCATCTGCTTCATTGTTCTATTTACCCTTGCCCTTGGAAACAAGCCCACAGAGTTGCCTGTAGCAAACACCAACAACCTGTCACTTACTGGGACGTTGTTGACAGATCAAGAATTCATTTACTGGAATTATTTCTGATAACCAAATAATCCTAAATTCTCTCTCCTTTGTCTTTTTCTTTTAATCTCTCAACTACATGGATATTGGCCAACATTTTCCTCCCTCTGTATAGGACCAGCACCAACAGAAACTAGTCCTTGGATTTTCATGGTGGAATTAGAGTTTTGTTTTATGTCCCTAAAATGTCTCCATTGGGTGCTTTAGAGTCCTGTAAAAGATATACAGTAGTCCCTCCTGTTCAGTTACCTGCAGTCGCCTGGAGTCTGAAACTGTTATTTTACTCAGCAATGGCCCCAAAGCACAAGGGTGGTGATGCTGGCACTTTGGATATGCCAAAAGGAAGCTGTAAAGTGCTTTTTTAAAGAGAGAAGGTCAAAGTTCTTCTATGCTGAGTTCACTATTATCTACCATAAAAATAAGTATTTTCTTCGTGGAATTGTGAAGATGGAAAAAAGATTTGTTACAGTCTTTCTGTTGCACCTCAAACTGCAAAAGCTATGGCCACAGTGCGTGATCAATGCTTAGTTAAGATGGACAGGCATTAAATTTGTGGGTAAAGCACATGAAGAGAAAATATATTCTGATGGATGGCAACATGGTGCACCAGAAAGCATTTAGCCTATATGAAGGCTTCAGCACGGTGTCCCCTGAAATGAGTGACACCCAGCCATTTCCTACAAATAAGAGATGGTTCTACAGATTCAGAAACAGGTTTGGCATTTTATCATCTCACAGCATGACAAGTGTGAGCACAGTACAATAAGATATTTTGAGAGAGAGAAGCCACATTCACTTTTATTATAGTATATTGTTATAAATGTCCTGTGGTATTATTAGTTGTTGTTAACCTCTTACTGTGCCTAACTTGTAAATTAAACTTTATCATAGGTATGTATGTACAGGTGAAAACATTTTTATTATAGTATATTGTTATAAATGTCCTGTGGTATTATTAGTTGTTGTTAACCTCTTACTGTGCCTAACTTGTAAATTAAACTTTATCATAGGTATGTATGTACAGGTGAAAACATAGGATACATAGGGTTCGATACTGTCCGAAGATTCAGGGTTTCACTGGGGGTTCTTGGACGTGTCCCGGGGTAAGGAGGGACTTCAGCGCAAGCAATTCTCAGGGGCAGCAGAAACATAAGCATGTTCTCACACGACACCAGTAGCTCTTTGAGACAGAATCGTGTACTAAGGAGGACATCGCTTTGAAAATCAAGGTGCCATCCAACCTCATCTTCCCATGGGTCCTTCACTGCGGCATGAGCTACAGCACACAGAGCTCTGCCCGGAGGTAGCTCTTCCCCTTCTAGAGCAAAAGTCTTACTGAAGGGTGGTATAGCAGTAGCCCACTGCTTGCTCTTTCTCCTGCAACCTCTTCTGTCTCCTTGCTTCCTCAGGAATGAACGTGTTTCTCAGTATTTGGGGTCTTCACCACAACCCTGCCGTCTGGGAAAACCCCAAGGTATGACTGTCTTACACGTAAATACTCAGAGAACTAATGCTAGGCAATTTACTTTTTGTTAGCTAGGCATGGAAGTGGCAAACGATACAGCAAAGAAAAGTAAATGTAAAAACCACAAATGTAAATATTTTCCACTAAAGGAAAGTCATCCTTTCCCTCTATTCCTACTTTATCTCTGCTTCGGATGAACGAATTGGCATAATGTCACACAGGCTCTGAATTGCCAGAGCCCCTTACTGATCAGGCTCTACCAAGCACTTACCTAGATGTCTGCAAGAGTGTAGATGGTCAGCAGTAAGTCAGGTAACTCAAGCTCCATTCCTGCTGGATATAACAATCCCGAATCTGGCAGGAAATCAATGATTCCCGCAAGCTGGGCAATTTGAGGAAAGTTTTATGAAGGAATTATTGGTAAAAGTGTGGGCTAGGGTTTAGGAAAAGTGAAATGGAGCAAATAACTGGCACAGTGCTTACCACTGGTAGGCCTGGCGAGACACGGGAGAGAGGGTTACAAACGTGGAGGAGGAGAGCTCCTGGGAAAGGCCATCAGACAGGAGTTGTAGCTGTCAGCAGAGCATGCAGCCAACCTGAGAGAGCCTGGCAGGGAGGGGCCCAGGGAATAAATACCCCGAATGCTCTCTCCTCCCACCCTCCGGATCTCCTATCAATGCCTTTTTTAACCTAACCCAACAGGACAACAAAGAGGGAAAACGATGCATACCTGAGTTCCTTGATTCAGTGTTGTGAAAAACTTGAAACACAGCATGTGTGAATACTTCCTTTACAGAACTGCTAGGGTCAAAGATGGGTTACATGGAATGGGAAGTTGGACTGCGTATCTCGCTCACGACTGATCATGCAGTGACTTTGACTTGACTTCTTAGTAGGTGCTCTCTTACCTCCAGAGTGAAAATACACCACTGGCTACAGTATTTCTGCTTTCCCCTGACTCAGTCTGGGTAAAGACTAGTGAGTTGAAAAGCCAGACAGGGGAACAGTTCTAGAGTTGCTCTGTCCAAGGTGGTAGCCATTAGCACACCTGGCTACTGAGAACTTGAATTGTGGGTAGTCCAAACTGAGATGTGCTGGGAGAAATTCACACTGGAGTTTGAACAGGTACTGAAAAATATGAAACATTTCCTTAATAACTCTTTATATTGGGTAGATTTGGAATGATCATATTTTCTAGTAAACTCTGGTATTAAAGTTCATTTCGCCCTTTAAAACTGTGACTGCTTGAACATTTGAAATTCTACATGTGGTCCACAGTATATTTCTGTTGATGAGTACTAAGAGTGGCTTAAGGAGTGTGTTAATGCTGTTGGGGGTGCCCTCTCATTGCAGGTCTTTGACCCCTTGAGGTTCTCTCCGGAAAATTATACTAAGAGACACTCCCACTCCTTCTTACCATTCTCAGCTGGACCAAGGTGAGGACAACTTGAAGGTGTTAAAAATATACAAAGATGTTAACTTGGAGACAATGTTTTTCCTTCGGTCCCTCAGCTCTATACTTTCATCCACGGAGACCCATCTTCTCACCCGACCAGAGGAGATGCGGTGCTTCCAGAGCGTCTGAGAGAGCCAGGCAGTTTCACAAAGGACAACGCCCTTCTCTATCACATCCTATATGGCCCTGCCTCAGCAAGTCTTCCCGTGATGCAAGCTTTTGCTCATAGGCTCAATGCAATGTACCTGCAGTGCAGGCAGGCTGCATTTATTATTTTCTAAAAATAGAAAAAACTTTTTCAATCTCAACTTTACTGACATTAATTGACATATGAAACCATAAGATCTTTAAAATGTACATCATGATGTTCTCATATACCGTATGGAAAAGTTCCTCCCCATCCAGTGAATTATCACATTCTTCACATTTATTATTCTGTGTGTGTGTGTGTGTGTGTGTGTGTGAAATATACTCTATTGTGCAACTGTAATTTACTTTTTAGCAAATTACAACTATACAATACAATGTTATCATTATAGTCACCTTGCGTTACATCAGCTCCTCACAGGAGAAACAATTCCAGGAGCAAGTCCAGGTGCCACCTGGTTTAAGGAGGGCGTCATGATGGGGCTCCCAGCTCACGTCCTTACAGGACACACGTAAACCCAAAGAACAGAAGTTTGTATGGCATTTGGAAAGAAAATGTTGCTTTACTGTGAACATCAGACTTGTTACTCCAGCATTTTATGGATTTTTCTCTCTGTGTCCACAGGAACTGCATAGGGCAGCACTTTGCCATGACTGAGATAAAGGTGGCCATTGCCTTGATTCTGCTCCGCTTCAAGGTGACTCCGGACCCCACCAGACCTCCTTCCTTCTCATCCCGCGTTATCCTCAAACCCAAGAATGGGATCCACTTATACCTGAAAAAAATTTCTTAATGTTAGAGTCCTGGGTACAATGATTATATATATTCTGTTTTAAAGTTAAATTATGACTACTGGTATGAGAACACTGAGAGGAAACGAAGTGTGGTGGGAGGGTTATGGGTAGGTGGGAGGGGGGTCTTTTGTGTTCATATTGTCATCTAATTAAATGTGCCCAAAATTTTATTAATAGTAGCAGTGATAATTTTTACCACTTTGCATTTGTAATCTCACTTAATTTCAACAAAACCACAATGATGTAGGAGCTCCTAATTATCTATTAAAATATTTAAATAAATGATATACTATCTTACCATATTGTTGAACATTTTGGTTCGTTTAAATGTTTTATACTAATTTTACTTGTAATTACATATGTAGATTACTAGCTACCAATATACAGATTTCACTTATAGATATAGATGTATATACCCATAAATACACTCATACATGTGTACACACACACATAAATCATTATGACAAAAGATGAAAAAACAAAAAGATTAATATATGCTGGAAAACACTGGATAAGAATCAACATCTCATAATGATTTCAAAACTCTTTAGGAATTACTGGTTGGAGAAATTTTTCTGAGATTTGTAATTTAGAACTCTAGAACGCTATGGCTTTCATATTCATCAGTGACAACCCCAGAAAGTGCGCCTCACAGACAGAGCTGTGGCAAGGATAGTCTGGCTACTACTGAAGGCTTTAAGAAAAGAAAATGAAGAGGTACACATATTTTAAAAGAAGAACAAAAACTGTCATTATTAAAGCCAAGATAGAGTGACTGAAATTGAATAAGGCTAAAATATATGTATCTTTTGAGAGGCAGGAGGGTACCCAATAATTTTAGGCTTTGTCAGGCATGTGAAATAAAATTTTCAAGCATAGCCACTGAAGAACAGAAATAAAATGTATAAATTCTAAATCTGTAAAGTATAGAATAGGAAAAGGTAGAATATTTTTTAAAAACTCAATATATTACCCCCAAAGAGTGTTTAAAGAAAGGAGAAACAAAGAACACAGAGAAGGAAGGACAATCTGAAAGCACAAAGCGAGATTGGAGGAACATATGCAAATGTGTCAATGATCACCAAACGTGAATAGAAGGAATTCAGGAGTTAAGACACAGATGCTGTCAGAGTGCATTTTTAGCATATAAGACCTTCCTAAATCATAGGCTACAGAACTCTTGAAAGTAAAAGGATGGTAAATACATGCCAAGAAATTAGAGTGGCTATATTAGTATTACAAAAGAGATTACATAAAAACAAAAACATCTGAGAGGGAAAAGAGGCTTGGCACTAAAAAGAAAAATATTCAACACACCAGGAAACTATTAAAATTCTAAACATGTAAGCTCATTTAGAAAACACCTAAACAAATTAAAAATTGATAAAACTACAGGAACATACAAAAAAATCCACAATTTTGGTGGGACTCCTAAATGTACTTACTCAAATATTAATTGACTTACAATATTTATAATTATAATACAGTAAGATATACAACATTTATCTATATATATACAATAAGATATATAGAATCTAACATCCAGAAACTAGAAAGAATTCATACTTATGAAGATACAATGAACATTTACAAAAACTGAGCACATACAATGCTATATAGCAATTATCAAAATATTTCAAAGAATTGATTTAATATAAACCATATTCTCAGGCAACAATGTAATTAAGTGAGAAATCAATAGCAAAAGTTAATGCATGCTTAGCCCCTATTCTTTCGTGAAGCTGCAGTCCTAAATTATAATGAACCATCCTATCAACTAGGTCCAGCATGCCAGCAACATTCTTGGATTAGCAATCAGTATATGGTAACAAGAGCTAGACCCTCATTTATCTCCAAAAGACATGTTTTTTCAGCTAATATTTCACACAGCTTCACTGACAATCAAAAGAGAAAATGAATAAAAGGAAAATGTAAATCTACCTTTGACATATACAAAACATACATTTAACTGTCTTAAGGGTACCTCACAAACACTGGGATGACCGCCATTAAAAAAAATCAAACAGAAAATAACAAGTGTTGATGAGGATATGGAGAAGTTGGAACCCTTGTGTACTGTTAGTGGGAATATAAGATGGTGCAGCCACTATGGAAAAAAGTATGGTAGTTCCTCAAAAAAATTAAAAATAGAATTGCCATACTATGCAGCAATCTCAGTTTGGGGTATTTATCTGAAAGAACTAAAAGTAGAATCTCAGATAGTTGCATATCCATATTTATAGGAGCATTATTGACAATAGCCAAGAGTGGAAGCAACCCAAATGTCCACTGATAGAGGAATGGATAAATAAAATGTGGTCTATACATATGCCATGTATGTTACATGGAGTGATCCATGTAATAATGAGAGTTGGAGACATAAATATGAACTCATGTTTAATTTAATGTAGACACAGATGGTTACAATGTAAAGATATTTCTAGATATGTATATATACCTAGGTTAACATACAGACATAAATATCTTTGATTTGTGAGCTAAGAGGGCCTAAAAGAAATGACACACCAGTGGCAATGACCACACCTAGCATTAAGATCTTGGTTTCCAACACCCTTCTCCAATAAAAGGAACCAAGTATCCCTGTAGAAATAGTTGGCTCTAGAACTGGGGCAGGAAATATACAAGATGAGCCTGGAGTAGTGCCAGAAGTTAAAACAACAAAACAAAACATTGGTAGGTTCATGTCAAAGAAGCACAGGAACCAACTGAAAAAGATCTCAATAGCTTAAGCTGGAACAATTTGAACAAGAAAAATAAGGTAGTATTGCATTATAACCCAAAATAGAAAATAAATTCCCTTGAGTTCACACTGATATAAATGATTGAATAAATTAATAAATGGGAGGAGAGACAGATCTCCAATGCAAAAGAATTCCAAATAATTTGTGTATATACTCTACCCTCAAGGAAGAGAAGTATATGAGAACTCCACACTCCTTAGGTGTGGGCTGTGCCTAGAAATTTCCTTGCAATGAAATTATAAACACAAATCCATTTACAATAGCAGCCAAGGGCATAAAATGTATAGGAATAAATTTACAAAAACATGTTCATGCCTATAGACCCAAACTATAAAACTTTGCTAAATAAAATTAGAATTTCCATTTTACTTTTTTATAGATTAAATTATTTTATGAAATTCTCCAACTTTTCCTCTAAATTCTAAAGTGCATTAATTACAGTTATTTTAGTGTCTCTGTCTGGCTATTCAATATTTGGACCTTCCATGGAACTATTTTGATTGCCTTGTTTCTTGTTTTATTTTGCTTTTTGGTCAATTAGACTGTTTCTTGGCATGCTGGCTGAGTTTTTATTAAATTCTGTACCTGGTGTACAGAATTTCTGTACCTGGTGTATAATGAATGGCAGAGGCTCTGCTCAGTTAAAAAGGGTTGAATTGTCTTCTGGTAGTCACGTAGAATACTGGCAGTCTCATGAGGCAGTTGAGAGGAAGTAGATAATTCATTTACTTTCAGTTGTTTGCAAGTTGTTTTGTTTTATATGAGTTATAATTATAGTGTTCATTTATTTTGTACCACTTCTCTCTACTACAGAATCCAAAGAGCTTTAAAAGGCACCCATAAAATTTTGAGGATCAGGGGCATACAGAGAAAGGAGCCAATGGAGATGAGCATATGTAGGACGTGATCTTCATTTCCTTTTCCAAGACAAATGGGAGAGGAGCATTGCCCAGAACCCATATCTGACATTCTCTGAACACCTTTCCTAATGACGCTGGACACCATTATTAAGTATGCCTTCAGTCACCAGGGTAGTGCCCAAGTGGACAGATCAGTGACCAAAAGAAAGGAAGTAAATTCACTCGCCGTGAGCTATTTCATCCATGAGCATGCTGCTCCACTTCTCCTCTCCCAATATCTTCATATCCCTCCTGGAAGCAAAGTTTAACAAAACCAAACTCATCCACCTTAGTCAACACACTTTCCTGTGTCACAGTGACCTGGTTTACAAGTTCAGTCATCAGAACTTCCATTTTAATAAATATTCCCTGGTGGCCCATGAACATACAGGTTCATCTTGGGCTTTGCATTGCTGAGACCTCCCTAAAACAACCAGTTGCCTAAGACACAAACCCTGGTGATGAATGCTTCCTCTGCTGCGGTTGGTGTAATATGTAGCAACCAGGAAGCCCTCAAGAAATAAATGGAATATAAATTTGATGCAAAGCCAGTTCTAGAATCCCAAACAACTAACTTCCAGCCAGGGCTCTCTTTACTAAGGCCACCCCTACATCTCCCCGGGGATCGCATCAATTTCCACTCCACTCAGACCCCTAGCCTGAACGGACTCCCCTAGCTGCACCCAAAAAGGCGGGATGGTGATCCAGCATCTACTATCTTCCCAGGGACAGTGTGAGCTCTGCCATCTGGTGGCTATTCAAGATATTGTAAGAAAAAGGGAGGAAAAACTAAAGGATAGGAACAGGCTTTAGCAAAAAGATAGCGTTTATACTTTGTAAACAACCTTTTAGAAAGTGTTTCGCCTCAGAGTGAATGGGAATCCACTGACTGCCTCTCTGTTTACACTGTGGTGTAACAGAGTAAATGTAAAAGTATTCAACACTTAGGGAAACCAATAGTGAGCATGTGCATTACAAGAGCCACAGAAATGCTCATGTTCTTTGATGGAGTCATTCCACTCCTGGGAGTTTGTCCTAAGGAAAGCTCATTACTTCAAAGATTTAATGGAAAAAGCACAGTAACTAGGGTCATTCCAGAGAGAGGCAGTGTCAGAGTACAGAGGTCCATGGGGAGTGGCTAGGACCCAGACCTTCAGCCTGACCCCAGACTAAACTGGGATATCAGGAACTGGGGTGGGTGGAGAAATAGAGGATCAGGAACGCAGTCATGCAGGAGGATGGTAGGGTGTTAGGAATGAGAAGCTGAAGCTGTGCTTTCCAGGAAAAGAAAATGGGAGCCCACTGGGCTCAGTTGATCTGTCAGCTACCCAGCCCAGCTGGCTTGAAGGCTAATTTTTTACCCTACTTGGTACAGAAGGACCTTTCAGAAAAGGTAAAACACTGTTAGTACTC